CTCAACAATTCAATCCATCTCAAAACACTCACCCACACAGCCCGCAATTAAACGTTTGTGCATACTAATGAGCTATTTCATCAACAACTCTCTCAACATTGGCTTTGGCATTACTTGAATACTCATTTACACTCTCATGGGAATGGATTGACTAATAATTCACAACAACTTACAAATGAACATCAATAACATTCGCATCATATTTTCACAAACCATGCTTGTTCACATCATCCTATATCAAGCAATAAAGATACCAATACCGTCAACATGAAATTTTGGGAATGTTCACATTGTGGATGTCATGATATCCAAGCACATGACCATAAATATTCAAGTATGCAGTTAGGACAAGATTCTTTTACTCGCAATAACAAAGATCGAGCTAGAGAAATGGTATCAGTATTTGAGAAAATGTTAGGGACTCTTGGACACAATATTCACGCCTGGTTTGAAACATTCTTGCAAACAAAAGAAGGCATGAGGGCCCTTTCAAACCTGCAGCCACAGCAAACAGCCATTCAGCCAGGATAGTCCTCGCTGCCGAAATTATTTTCAGATGCAATCAACAGAATCCTTTGGCATCCGGTTGAAACAGGATTTTTGCGGCTGAGATAGGATTTCGATCAGGTGATCAGTTTATTTTGCTTACTAAAAAACCGTTCTCCACAATGACGGTTCTTGGAAACGAAGTAAATTCCTCATAATATTGTGTAAAATCTTTAGAAACGTCTATCAATCTGCAATCTGCTTCATTCACAACAGTCTGCAAGCATGGCAAAAGTACGACATGCTCTTTCAAATTCACCAATAACAATATAATTAATATGTTCTGGTGATGGGAAGCAACAATAATACTCATATGGTAATCTTGTGGATTGATCTTTCTCTTTGTTGAATTGTAAGCCAACAATTAAGGCACTTAAAAAATTATTGAGAGCATTCAAGAAATTTTCAGCGTTCAGATTGGTGTTGGAGCCACAATGTTGTCAAGCCACTCCATAAAAATTCTCGATCATATATTCTTGCAGTTGAAAAGGCAAAAATACTCTGTTGTTGGGTGATGATTGAACTCTATACATTGTCAAACACAAACCGATCATTAATAACAACAATAATGGATAATGACAATTTATCTACCTTGAAGTCGAACTATAAATTGACTCATCATCATCTTCGATGTCAGTATTGTTATGATTTGTTTCTTTTTCTTTGAGGAAGATGCGAGCGATTCCACAAAGCTCTCTTGTTATGAACATTTGTTTGACATCATCTTCAGTCATAATCTTGTTTTTACGTGAAATCTTTGGTTTGGATTATCATTTTCGGGTTGCATTCGGAAAGAAATCACTGCTTCACATGAAGTGCAAATGACATGATCTCTTCATCATCAAATAAATTTAGAACAGCAATGCTTCTGATAGCATTTTCTTCAAAAATACGAATTACTGAATTGATGTCTGATGGTGTGAATTTCATATCGGTAAGATAGTCATAGAGAAGATGAAGATCAGAATTCGTTTCGTGGATGTACGTTGATGTGGTTGTCTAGCTCCACATTTGAATTCATTTCGGTCAAGGATAACATGCCAAAGCTTGTTCGGAATTGTTGTTGTTGTTGCTGTTGTTGTTTTGCATTTTTATTGTTAAAAATTTTATTCGTTTTAAAGCCAAAAACAACCGCCAAAATCCATAAACATCCAGATTCTGGAGGATTCTGGATTTCCACAAAGTTTGGGAAGTCAGCAGGAGCTGGCAGCCGTCCTTTTCGGCTGTTTGCTGCGGCTGCAGGTTTGAAAGGGCCCTCGAAGGCATTCAAAAAACAATTAATATTATAGAAAAAAACTTGAAAGAAAATATTCGGTACAAACAACTGAAACAATATCTTATCGAAAAAAGAGATCCTACAATAGTTCAGTATTGGAGAGACAATAATTTAATTTCTGATAATACTTATCACAACCTTCGAAAAGAAGTTTCCTTAATGAAGGAGTTGCCTTGTAAGAAAGAAATGAGTAATTTAAAAAAACAATTGAATGAGAGAGTGGAAGAAATATTCAAATTAAGATGCCCAAGTGCTGAATTCATTGGTCACATCATAGATTTAGATGAAGCTATTTATTATATTCTAAAGTTATATCGATCTCTAGGAGGAAAACTTAAAAAGAAAATATTTTTCAAAATTTCTGTGGATGGACGTGAAATTAACAAAGTGAAACAAGTAGCCGTTGCATTAGTTCCTCTTAATTTAAGAGATGTGTTTCCTTCTCAAGCTGTATCCTCTGTCTTTTATATTGGATTATTTCAAATGTCTGAAACAAAAGAGAGTATTAAGGAAACCATTGGAACATTGACAGACGAAATCAAAACTGTGTCACAAAAAACATATTTTGAAAAATCTGAGGTTCATTTGTTCTATGTTTCAGACATGCACAATGTTGGATTTACATTTGAATTTGATATTTGTCCATACTGCATGGCAAAAACTGTTGAAGAATTTGGAGCAAACAATCGAACAACCCTTGGAGGTTCCTTGCCATTCAGTCCTAAAGATTTAATTATGTGTGCTCTTCATGTTAAACAGCGATTAGTTGAAAATACAATTGCTTATATGGCTTCAAGTGGGCAATACAATAATACCATATTGCAGAATTTGCAAAAATTAAAAGGATTAGAGCATTTTAATTGGAGAGAGTTGAAACAACGAGTGACTGAATATGGTATTTCACAAACGTCAGAAAGAGTTACTGCCAAATCGAGCATGCTGTCTGGGGATCAATGCAACACAATTTTAAGTAATGTTGAAGTGATAGTGAATGACATCGAACAGCACACTAAGGAGAAATATTTGAATATTTTGAAATTATTAAGGAATATTATAATTATCGTTGAGGCTAAACAAGATGATCCCAATACCAAACAAATACTTACACCAGACAGAATCTTTAAATTGGACAAGATGATCATGGAGTTTTTATGTGCTTGTTATCGAATATGGAGCAAAGGTATCAAAGCTCATTATTTTCATTTTCTTACACATCTTCCATCTATGATGACAGAATTGCTCGACGATGACTTGTCCTTATCTATTTTAAGTAATCAAGGGTTCGAACGTTCTCATTTGTTTCACCATGCCGTGTTTAATAGAGTGATTAATAACGGTGGTGGTCGTCACAAAATTCATGTAACCAAACAATTGCTGTTATGGCAATGGCGAAAAGTCCTGACTGCGATTGATATAGGAGAGAAATTTGGAAGTACTTATTGGAATGAAAAACGGCTCAAACAAATTTATTCATGGAATTCAATTCACCTCAAAGAAGCACCTCAAGAATTACACGATTTGTATTACGATTTGGATGAGTCGAATGTGGATCTTGCTACTTTGCAGCAAACTATTTCTACAAGCTTTCAAGAACAAGAGCAACAATCACAAAACACAGAAAAACAATCAGAGAAAACGACAACCAAGCGAAAACAAGCAAAGAATACACGACAAAGCGACCAGGCGACCAGTTTTAGTGGAACAATGAGTACACAAGTTTCTCAAAAGAAACGAAAATTTTAATCGAAAATTTTCAAAAGCTCTCAATCCAATATTTTCCATCCTTCGCTTGAACCCAATGACACAAGTAGGCATAATATAATTCCAATCTGGTGTCGTAAGAGATCACCAACTTTGATACAATGCAACGGTAAGCAATATTGTCGAAATCTTCACTTAAATCAACTTGGAATCTTTTTCTAAGATTATCACCAACGTTCTTTTGATTTACGGTCATATAATTTTTGGCCCATTCACCATCTCCAAAGGAAGGAAAATTTGGATATTCAAATTCATATATTATGTGACGATTGATTTCGGTGTCTCCTGTTCGATTGATCCAAGGAGAATATTGTTCTATTCTTGTGTACATATGTGGTTTCATTGTACGACACATATACATATCAAAGGTTTGTTCCTCACACTCACCAACTGGTAAACGACATCTTGCTTGTCCGTTGCATGGTGAATTAAAATCCCACAGAAAGTTTACGAGCTTCATTTCCATTCTAGATGCTTGTTTGTGATGGTCTTCATGTTCATAGTTGATGATGGACAAAGGACTTGGGTGCATATTTATGGGTACCTCATCGACCTTCACAAAGGCCTCCAATGGATGGCATTTGTAACGTCTCTTCCGTTTCCCTTCAGATTTACCTTCATCTGACTTTGTGTTGGTTGATGGTAGTCTCTTTGTTGATGGTTCCTTAGGCATGTTGTTGATGATGTGGTGGTAAAGCACAACGATGATGATTACTAGATTGTTGTTGTGAATTTGTTTTTCGATGAGTTGTTCAACCAACCGACATGGCCGCTTCCCAAGTCATTTATTTTTTTTTCAACTCCTGAATCCAAATCCATCCTGCAACACGGAGGGCTGGCAGTCTTGCTATG